AGAGAGAGAGAGAGAGAGAGAGAGAGAGAGAGAGAGAGAGAGAGAGAGAGAGAGAGAGAAATGATTGGCGCGGGAGCACAAGCTCGCCGTCTGCTGGAGGGAGGATAAAGAGAAAAAAACAAGACATTATGTTGTCTCAAGTTACTCTCGCGCCGATCATTTGTTTGTTTCTCTCTCTCTCTCTCTATTGTTGTCGGTATTCGTATTCCGTTATGGTATCTTATACTCTCCGTTAAGTGGCCTTAGATTACCTATCTGACTATACCTATTTATTATTTGTCTGTCTATGTCTCTGTATGGATCAGGCAGGATGTTTGCAGAGTATTGATTGACACGTGGCGTGCAATTGGCATCTCTGCATTGACACGTGGCGTGCAATTGGCATCTCTGCATTGACACGTGGCGTGCAATTGGCATCTCGTGAAAAGAAGGCCATTCAGCAGGGAGAGAGTGCTCTGCCAGTGTGACACGTGGCATGTGGTGAAGAAAATCTCTATCGAAATATAAGGGGGGTAGGGGAAAGGCGTGGCGGAGGGGACAAAATGAGAAATCGGAGTCGAATCGAACGAAGGTAGCAGACCGAGGAGGAGAAAGAGAGGAGGAGGAGGAGGAGGAGGAGGTGGTGGTGGTGGTGTTGGTGGTGGTTTCGGTGCTCTATGCGTTGCAGAAGCTTTTTGGTACAAGTTTTCATGTGTTCATTAGCAAAGCGTTGGCGACTACTATAGAAAACAGCCACCATGAATCCTCTCACGCAAGTGAAGAACACTCAGAAGGCAACACAGAGGGAGGTGGATGCAGGCATCCAAGATGGAGCATCATGGCATGCACGTTACAAAGAGTCTGCTTATATTTTCACGGGTGGCCTGCCATATGATCTAACAGAGGGAGATCTACTGGCTGTCTTTGCTCAGTGAGTGGTCATTCAGATTATGTTCCTCTCTCTCTCTCTCTCAATCTCTCTCCCTCTCCCCTCTCTCTTTCTCTCTTTCTCTCTCTTTCTCTCTCTTTCTCTTTTTCTCTCTTTCTCTCTTTCTCTCTGTTTCTCTTTTTTTCTCTTTCTCTCTTTCTCTCTTTCTCTCTTGCTTGGGATCTTGTTGGCGTTCATCTCTTGCTCTCTTTCTGCAGTTATCTGGATCGTTCTGTGCCTCTGCTGTTTAACCACGTGGTCGACTCGTCTCCATTTCCGTTTTCTTTGATCCTTACGACCATCTCTCTCTCTCTCTCTCTCTCTCTCTCTCTCTCTCCCAAAAAAAAAAACCAACCTTTGCCCCTCCACGGTGGATTGCCCCCACTCGCCGGGAGGCTTACTACCTCTCTGCGAGGTGATAGGGTAATCCCCTGGGGCAAAGGATAGACTGACAGACAGACATTAAGACAGTCAGAGAGGTGATAGGGTAATCCCCTGGGGGCTTGGCACGGATAGGCCTTTCTGGGCTGTCCCTGTGCCCGCTTTCCAATCTTCAACTGTTTATACTACCGGTAGTATTTCAATCCAGCCTTGCTTAATTAATATCTGGCTACTGCAATCCTGCAACCTTTACCATCCCAAAGTGCCCCATCCCATCGTCCTGTACCCTTTGCCTAGATTCTACTATTCCAAGCCTGTTATTGTCGTGCCGTTAACAAAATCCTGCGTGGCCCCAGCATTTTCCTGTTTCTGTCCTTTTTTTTTTTTTTTCCCCTTTCTCTGCGCCTGCCTAGCTGGCAACAGCGTGTCATTTACAGTCGAGCCTTAGTCTCCACATCCCCTCCGGGCTTGTATTGCAAGACACAGGTGTTTCTGCAATAGAAATGTCAATCGTGAGACACTTGCTTGTAGTGTAAATTTGAGTGCGTTCAGCTCCTTAAAAATCTTCCCCCCCCCCTCCCCCCTCTCTCTCTCTCTCTCTCTCTCTCTCTTTCTCTCTGTGGAATTGTATTTCTTTATGCTTTGGTCATCCATCTCGTCATTGCGAAGACAGCCTGACTGCAACCCTTGGAAGTAATTGTTCTTGCTGTTTGCGTCTTTCGGTCTATACTCCTTGCCCCCTCGTTCCCACACCTCCTCCTCTCCCTCCTCCTCCTCCTCCTCCATGCTACTTGTTGTTTGTTGATTTCTAAGGCCTTCATCCAATCGATGTTTCCTTCTTTTTTTTTTTTTTGTCCTTTTAGTTCTGTCTTACCTCTCACCTCTCTGACTGTCTTAATGTCTGTCTGTCAGTCTATCCTTGTGGAATGCTGTGATCAGCTGCATTTCAGCTCGTTCTCCTCGCCTACCTTCTTCTTGCAGTTTCTATGTAAGTAGAAAATATTCTTGAGTGAGTGTGTGACTATGTGAGTGTGGCCCTTTTGATGGACATAGGCTTGCTTTATCCTGTGATTGAGTGAGGCTTGAG